AGAATTTCGTTGCACCTAAATTAAAATAAAAATTTTGAAATTTTTTTTAAAAAAAATAATAATATTAACAGACCTTTTGAAAAAACGATGTATCCACCTTCCCAAGAGGATTAACAAAGTATTTGCATAATCTTTTTTTATCCTTCTTTCAAGTTCACATCAACAGTTACACTAATAGGCAAATAAAATAGTCTTGATTTGTTTATTATTATATTTTTTATAGTATAACTATCTCCTTTTTCACAGATCTTTACGATCTTAATAAACTTGCAAAAACTTCTTCGGTGTCACTTATTTCTAATTCATTAATTATTCGAAAAATATCCACAGCTATCTTAAGATTCATATGCATATTGCTTTCTTCTTTAACATCTATAAGCTTTTCACAAACTATAAACTATGTGTTTAATCTCTTCAGATTTTAAAGCATTTTCTTTTTGCTTGCAAATATACTCAAAATTTGATCTTCACGTTTTCTTTTTCGGCTTTCATATATAGTTTGAATACAAAAACATGTTTTTTGATTACTTTGAAATGCAATAATGGGTTTTAAAGTTTGAAAAATGAACAAAGTTTAAATTTTCCATTTTATGATATTAAAAAAAAAAAATTTAACATTATGTAGAATTTAACTACGTACAAATCACCAGTTACACAAAAGAGATATAAAAAGATAAGTTATTCGATTTTTTTTTTTTTTCTGCTTGTCATTTTTTTTCATTTTTTTTTTATATATATATTTTATATATCTGTATATTATATAGTATATATATTACATTATTAGTACTTGTACTAACACTTCTAATTATTTTTTTTTAGATAGTAGATTCGTCGTTGGTGTCGTCCAGTTTGGTTCTTTTTTCATTGGCTGGTGCTTTTTTTGCGTTGTCGGTGTCGTCCAGATGGTGCTTCTTTCGCTGGTTGGTGTCTTGCGTCATTGGTGGCGTCCTGTTTGGTGTTTTTTTCTCTGGTTGGTGCATTGTTTCTCTTTCACCGGAGGTTCGTCGTTGTGTTGTCTAATT